AGGTGAAGAGAAATACAAATAGTCCAATTCTATTTCATTCTAAATTTAAAAAAGGTAACAACATCCTCGTATTCCTGTATATCGTCAATCATTTTCTCTATACTCACATTAATTTATCAAAATATTAATGCATACAGATGCATATCTTTTAAGTGTTATTTTACATTTAATAACGTCCTATAAATTGTTATGCAGTTTTAAACGTTATCTATTTGTTTTGTATTTTTTTTTTTAAATTAGCTTTCATTATTTTTATTCTTACACATTTTGCTACATGTTAGTGAATATATAATTACATATATATGTAAGTATTCAGCTTTTTATTGTTTATACAAATTAGGTCCATGAGCATTTAGGTCAAATTCATTGATCATCGTGAAAGATTACCTTTCTTGTATTCAACAAAACCATTATTTATAGATAGCAATACCTTAAATTTTATCTATCGGTTTGGCGTTAATTCAAAGAAATTTTCTTTTTCCTAAATAAATGTAATTTTTATTTTTTAATTATCGGATTAAGCGCACCCATTGATTCACTATAGCCCTGCATATCATTCACAAACAATGTTTATGATATGATCGCTAATTCCTATACGTTTTGCCAATGCCTTAGTAAAACTTTCTTCAGTTTTTGGAGTGAGAGGGTCACGGATTTCGGGGAGGTGACTTTCATTGAAGACCATCTTGAGCTGAAAGCCTTATTCCTAAACTGGCCATTTAAAAAAAAAAAAAGATTTATCTTCAATGTGACCGTGCAAAAGTAAAAAATTTTTATATAAATTTTACGAAGGCGTGATTTTACTGCTGAGTCAAATCTGGTATTTAAAAATCATCGAAATCCAAATTGGTATGTGAAAATCGCTATGCATCGGTATCACTATACAACGGCAAATTCCTTAACTCAGCTCTGAGGCTCATCCATCAGACCGTTCCTAAAAACATCGTTGCAAACCATCGATGGTATTTGGTGCGTTCCTTTACTAATCGATTGAATCACTAATGGCTCAGCGGTTTCATCGGCTTTTTGAGTCGATGTATTCGATAGATCTAACCTCATTGCTGTTATTTCTTCGCTTTCCATCTATATTTATTTCAGTTTAGAAATTGAACAATCCAGTTAGTAAATATTTACTTATATATTTTTTTTTTATTCCCATGTGTTTTGTAACCTTCTAGGAGTGTTATCCTTCCGCTGGAATATATCAGATCGTTCCTAAACCCAGCATAAATCGCTGTTGGATCCAATCGATCGATGAAATCTATCGATACAATTAGAGCTAAGTTTAGGAAAATTTTTTTACCTCGATTTTATTTGTCATTCCTTTTAAAGTTGAGGTATTGAGCATTAACAGAATGTATCAAGGGACTAGAAAAGAGGTAACGATATATTTTTTTACAGATTGTTATAATATTTTGATGCGAGTACGATTTCATTTCGCGGGATATTTTAATTTTTATAGTTGATGAATTATATTGAAAGTTTGAAAGAATTAAATATTCGTCATTAGTCATTAGTCATTACGTACATAAAACTTGATATATTTTAATACATGCAAATATAATGTAATTATAATTTTATGTAAAGAAATAATGCTCCATTATTACAACACATTATAGTATGAAATTTAATTAATGTGATCATTCATGTTGAATAATGTTATTATTTATTAATTAATTTTTCTACGAATCATTAAACTTATAATTACCGTAGCTACTTAATTAATACTTACGCAATTTACTGGCTTTTATTCAATCATTATAATTTTAATCGATATTATAGTGTGCTATCATGCTAAGCAGTCGGCACTAATTTTAAATGAATGGTAAATAATCTGTCTGCGTTACCCTATAACCTGTCTGTGTTATGGCAAATAACCTAATCTGCTAAAGTGTTATCAGTTATAGCAAGGTTATGCCTGTGCTGTAAACAAACTTAGTGAGTTCTTAATTGGTCTATTAACGTTTTGATTTATTTTAAAATGCTAAAGCGAAGTTAAAAGACTGAGTTGATGGATTATTTGGTTAAAAATGCTTTATTAGATAGCACGAATGAATATTGAGATGATTCAGAAGGCAAAGAACTAGATGAATACACAGATGAAATCTTAGCTGTTTTAAAACCTTAAAGACACATCAAAACCTTACATAAACCTTCTCCATGCGTTTACGAAGTTAGCAACACTTTACAGGACCTTAGGCTGCGTTAAAATCGAGAGTGCTAGTGGCCCTATTTAACACACATATCGTAAATAATTTTCTCGACTTATCGCATTTAAGAGGTTTACAAAACTTATCACTGATTGTGAGGTATTCACCTATTATCTCTAACAGCTGCTTCCAATGCTTTAAATAGTTAATGTGCGCTAAAATATCTTTTAGTTTTATTGTACTTTTATTAAAATAATATATTTCTTAAATTATGTTACATAATTTTTACATTGTACACTACTACCGGTGCAGGAATTTACATAAGACTTTAACTTATTTTTTAAATTTAAATTCTGGAACCCCCATACCAGATTGAAACGACGTTTTCGATTACTTCAGCACTTACTAGACAAACGCTCTAAGCTTTCAATCAATTACAAACGACTTATATATATGACAATAATAAGACCTATTTGGACTTACGGAATTGAGCTTTGGGGTTCCACTAAACCATTCCTCTCGTATCCAGTCCTTACAATAAAAAACCCTTCGTAAAATCCTCAATGCTCCTTACTTTGTCACAAATAAAATTATCCATAAAGACCTTAATGTTCCATATGTTTCCGATTTGACCCAATCCAGATACCTATGCTTCCATAACAAACTGCAGAACCATCCGAATCCTCTCGTTTCAAACCTTCCTCCTCGATCCCCGATAACCCTCCGAGGCGTCTGAAAAGAAGATGGCCTCGGGACCTTCTAATATAGAACTTTAATTTGAGTTCTACCAGTGGGTAGTTTCTCTTCATATTGTACATGTCATGTTACCAATGTCACATTTACTTGTTGTATTTTCCATGTAATATAATTGTAAATTTCATTAAAATAAAAAAATTATTCAATTCAAAAGAAAAAGCTTCAAGGTGTATACAGCATACATTCCCAACAAAACGCAGTGAATATACGACCATTCCACAAATAATATTACTAACTTAAACAAAAAGCTGTAATTATTTAGATGAGGATGCACGGGTTACGCGTGGTTCACAATCACTTCGGTCACACTTGTTCACGGAATGCCGAATGCATCCGGGTTTACCCGAAATACTGTTTTCGGTGTTTCATGAACAAGTGTGATCTAAGTGATTGTGAACAACACCTATCCTGTGCGATCCTCATCTAATAAATAAATACCCAAAAAGCTAATAAAATTTGAGGGTTTATATTCTTATATCCCTGCTATTCTGCTGTTCAATATAACCTTCCTTAGCTATGTTAATATAACCTCATATTTCCTTTATTATGTATTTGGATGCCTTCGTGAGATGTCTATAGCATTGTTTTTCTCTTTTATTTTTTGTTTTTAACATATTCTCCATTACCAGAAAATGCAATTTTCATAAATGTTTTTATCCTATTAAGCTTTTTGCCGAGATATTAAAAAAAATATCATAATTAAGAAATATGATCTGTTAGCTCAAATCACTTTTCAAAGTGTATTCACCATGGGTAAACTTGACATAAAGAATGGGTAATCTGTTTCGCTACCAATTTATAAAAATATATTTTATTGCTTTTAGCGGTCCTTTTACATATTTTATTTTGTACACCTTTAAATAAAATTAATTATCAATATATTAAAATAATATTACTAAACTAAGCAAATAGCTAGAAAAGATACATAACATAAAACGATTATGTTATAAATGGAAAAATCCAAATTGTAAATCCATGAATCTATATATATATATATATATATATATATATATATATATATTATAAGTCAAAATTTGCAATGAATTTCGAAAATATTTATGTTTTGTTGCTAATGGTTGATAACTACTACTACTAACTATTACTCCAGACTCAAAATATACACATAATTTAAATTTCTGATTTAGAAAAATATTACTCAAAAATTATTATTATTTTTGATTTTTAAAAATTTGATCAAAAATAATCATCATGGTATGATTTTTATCGGTCTTGATTAAAATCATTAAATGTTTTTTTTTAAATTTTGATCTGATTTGATTTTTAACTAAAATCAAAAATTTTTTCTCTCACTTTTTTGTATATAAAGTTTATTATCTCTTAATCAGTTAAAACTGTCTCTAAAACGATATTTAATATGTTAGGCACATATTTTTTTAAGCATCGAATACAAATTGAACGAAATTTTAGTTTATACTACTCAAACAAACGACACATCAGAATTAAGTAATTCATTTAAGAAAAGTAGGAATCACTTTATTTTAATAATGGTGCCACCCAACTATATTGGGTTGCTTCAGACAGCATGCGTATCATTTGATACAATGGACAGTTCTTAAAACTAATGTACAGATATAAAATATCAACAATATATATGAGCATAGTAAATAATTTTGTCCCTCATTTATGTATTTTTTCTTATTTTTTTTTATTAACATTATATTTCTATTTCGTTGCCATCCCAGCCCTTATACATTTCTCTTATTTTCCCTCATATTTTTCTCTCTACCTCTCATATCTCTTCCTAACCCAGTTTATCCCTTCTGATGAAAAATTATACAAGGACAAGAAAAAAATAACTCTAATCTAAGAGCAGTTACAGATCATTTCTCATTTAAGATAACTTTTTTTAAGAACAAAAAAAAATAAAAGTAATACTTTCATCTTAAACCTAGAAATGAATTACAAATAAGTTTTTTAAAATTTTTATTTTTAGAATGATTTTTCCTAAAACGTTATACATAAACTGTGAAAATGGAACCTTTTTTAAAACGTTTCAACTCCTTATATAGTGTAAAATAAAGCAGCCCAAATAATTTAAATATTTCGATAAAGTTTCCAGGTGATTTCCGATAGCCTCGTACAGAGCAACTATTTACCATTGGCCCTCTAACTATGGAATCAGACACGGCTTTGTAGATACGGACCTTCACTTTCCTCTTGTGCCATTAGAAGTTTTGGTGGCGCCACGGGATGTCTGGGAATGCACAGTTAACTTCGTGGGGTATTGTTACTTGTTATTGTATCTTCGACTGTGGATGGCCGTATTCATTATCCCTTTCTTCTTAGACACGGAGGACCTCATTTCCAGATCCTCACTACCTCAAACTTATAGACTCAAAATATCGAAAGGATCTGTGATGGAACTATCAGATTTAGCATTAAATGAAAAAAAATAATAGAATTTTAATTGGAATATTCAATACTTTGGCAAAATAACAACATATTAATGTATATGGGTAGGAATATTAACATGAAGGAGCCTAATACTGGATTAAATCAGCACTCTGAAGTATTTAAATATACCTTTTTTATTTATTCTGGAAATTAACTACTGTATAAATTAAATATACACCTAGTAAATGTGTACAGAGAAATACTATAGCATGAAAAGAATTTTAAAGAATTTACCCATTGGTAGCACTCTAATAAAGTATCTAAATTAGGAGATCACGAGGCCATCTTCTTTTCAGACGCCTCGGGGGGAGGGGGCGAGAGGTGGGTTATTAGGAATCGAAGAGTACAAAAGTTTATTGTTTATACCAATTCTTTACATATAGTAACTAAAATTGTCAAGTATTAGTAACTAGGGGGCGGGGTGGCCGAATAGGCTAAAGCGTGTGTAACAGCACAGCTAGTTGCCTGGCAACCGGATAACAGAGATTTGAGATGATATAAAAAGTACGAGTTCGCGTCCCGGTGCCGGAGGGGATTTTAAATTCCCCGCCCTCACCCCCCGGCCCGGGAAAATCCCGTATAGCCTAAATGGCGAGGTAGGGAAGAAAAAAAAAAAACAAAAAAAAAAAGTATTAGTAACTATTTTGCCTTAATTTTTATTTAAAAAATCAATTTTTTTACCAATCCTGGTCTTGGTCTTGCAACAGTTAGGCAGGTCATGGTTTCGCAAGACCAAGTCCGATTTTGGCCAACAATAATCTGATAGTATAAGGGTAAGGAAGTTATGTGGACGGGATATAAAACTCGGGGAAATCCATCATGAAGCATTTATATAGAAATAAATGGCTCAATAATAGCCAAGAAACCTCGTTGAAGGACAAACCAGATGGATAGATTGAATCAACAAAGATGCTGTAGAGCTGAATGCACAAAACTGGAAAGCGATAGATGAAGACAGAAGGCTGGTTAAAGAACTCTGTTTCCATCTCAAGCCAAAAAATAAAACAATTAAAATAAATAGAACTTATTCAAAGTTACGATGCGTATAGTGAATAAAATACTCATATTCGTAATCAAATTAAAAAAAAAAAAAGAACCAAAACTTTTCTGTTATGTCCGAATACTGTCAATTAAAAATGCCACCTTAATACTTGATATGTGTTCCAGCTGTACAGAATTTCTAGGAGTTCCATAAATCACTATGATTGTGAGTTGGAAGAAAGGTCAGTAGACTTTGAGTATGTACCTGAATTGTTTTTGGCTCATGGTAGGGTTCACCTAACACCAGCGCTGGCACATCCTTTGATAGAAAAAATATTCAATGAATGGATAGAAATGTGGGGCAAGATCTACCCAAGCAAGGTTAAAAGCATAAAGAGAGAGGTAAAGCCTTGGATAACCTCAAGTCGCGGTCGCCTCAAGGAAGAGGTACCCATATCAAAGGAATGACCCAAAATGTACTTACAGTGTAAGGAAAGTTTAACAATAGTCCACATTTTGAAGAATCGACGGCATAGAATTGATTTAAAATAGGATATGCAGCATCTCAATTGCTTTAGAGTATGACACACTCAGTGATGTTCGTTCTTATCTAACGAACCTTGATTTAATTTCATATAACTGGATCTGATTACCACGACATATTGAGAAATAGAATAAAGTTTGCTGGTCTCAGTACGGAGAAAGGACTTAGCGAGTGGTAAGTTTGGGGTAGTGTTGCCCAAATGCATGGCCAAGACTCTTCTTGATTTGGCCACTCAGTCTTGATCTTGGTCTTGCTTAAGAGTCTTTTAGTTACCTATTTATAAATCACGTTACTTTAGATCTTAGAAAACACTTCAGAATAGTTACACTTAGATGTTTTATTGACATAAACATAGCAAAGAACAAAGAAATTAATAAAATTGACTAGACAATACATTTAAGGCATTGTCAAGAAAGATATTGATAGGCTCCCACCCACCTTATAATGGAAGAGGTGTAGAGTAAAGGCAATCTATACAATGTCACCAATTATTTAAATAATAAATCTGAAGTGTCCACTCAAATGACTTTCCTACCGATTTTAAACTTTTTTTTTTCAAATTTGCATATGTTCATTAAAAAAAACATAGAAGGGACACCTAACTAAACCCCGAATGAAAAATTTGAATAGTTAAATACAAAAGTACATTGGGTCTACCAATTCTATGCCTATAGTAACTAAACTTGTGTTTGCCTTAATTTTTGACCACATAAAAACATAGCAACAATTAAGTGGTCTTGATCTTTATGGAAGACTAAGGTCAATTTTGGGCAACATTGCTTTGGGGGTATGGGAGTGTAGTGCATGTCCTTGACTAGGGGTGAGAATCCATGGAAAAGGGAAGAGTTATTGTTATTTATTTTATTTCTTTTTGGCATTGCTAACGTTATAGATTGTTTGATATGATCGTTCCGACCGTATCGCTCATTCCCATGAAGGAAGGGAATGCCCCTTGCATGTTGAAGGATATCGGCTGGAGGGAACTAGCAGTCGTTGAACAGGTAGGCTCGCACCTGGCACGCCGGATGGCCAGCCAACTGTTGCCAATGATTAGAAGACCGTAGTGTGGGCTAACACCTGTAAACGTGGAGTCGTACCTGGAAGTTTAACCTCGTCTCGAATGAGTTATTCGAGGGCTTGAACATTTTTGGCTAGATCGACCTCAAACCCTGCTGTTTTTTGGGTACCATAAAAGAGGCTTTATTCTCACCAGTTTTTGGACATTCTGTATTTTTATTTTATTTTTTACCCTCTTACAGGAGTCAGAAAAGGCTGAAACCGATATCTGAGCTTACTTATATTAAAAAGAAAAGAAAAAGCCTAGATTACAGTGTGTTGATTTTAAGGTGTTTTATTTATTTATTTTTTATTGAATAGTGGAGTACAGATTATGAGTCAGTTGGTCTTTCCAATTCTTTTATTTCTTCTTTTTAAAGGTTTTTCATTAGATAGAGCTTATAATAGAATATATAAAAACGAAATTCATCAATATAAATTTCGACCAAAATAAATTCAAATTATATATTTTTTAATGATGTAGATATGGTTGCCCGTGATATATAATATGAGAAATAGTTGGTCGGGGGGTGCGGTCAAATAAATATTAAATTAAAAAAAAAAAATTATTTCTAATTGTTACGCCCACGTTTCGACCCACCTTGCACGTCTTCATCAGGGCTACAAAATATAAAAAATGTAACAGGTACATAGTGAAAATAATATAAATGAATTATAAGTAGATATTAAATAAGAAACAGCTGTTTGATGAAGAAATTATAAGATGACATCAGAGATATAATTATAATACTTGATATTTTAACTACAATGTCACCCACTATATCTCTGATGTCGTCTTATTATTTCTTTATCAGACAACTGTTTCTTATTTAATATCTACTTATAATTCATTTATTTTATTTTCACCATTTACCTTATATATTTTGTAGCCTTGATGAATACCTGCAAGGTGGATCGAAACGTCGGCGTAATAATTAAAAATACTATTTTTTAAAAATTTAGCATTTATTTGACCGCACTCCCCGACCAACTCCTTCTTATATATTTTTAAAAATTAAAATTAATATTACCATAACATTATATATATATATATATATATATATATATAGTATGATATTTGAAAAAAACAATTGGACAATAAACAAATATCGGAGCAATATGCAATACGAGGACACGTTAACTGGAAAACGTAAAGCACCAAAGTTCTAAAGTATTCCTATTACTAAAGACCGCGTTACTTATTTTTTAAAAATTATTTTTAATTTTTTTAAATGATCTTATATTTTAAAAATTAGTTATTATTTTTTAAAGCATTTTTGTGGTATGTTTGTACATTTTTATGTAAGTTTAGCCTTTCTTCAAAGATCAGATAAACGGCTCAATTATTTTGTAGGCCACCTTTTTTCTCGTTTTTGCGATAAAATTATTTTACGATTCAAGGGGAAATCAAGTGTATTCATAAGTTATTAGTACCTCACACTTTTTAATTCTTATATTTTTTTTATTTTTTATTTTTTTTATTAGTTGAAAATTAATACATTCTGCCACATTGGAGGCCATTAATATTAGGGCCACATTAAACATTCACGCAATATATACATACAGATGATAACTAAAATAGACATAATAAAGAAAAAGAGTTGTAGAAAATAAAATAAAAAAATTAACATATCTAAAAAAATAATAAAAATAAATAATAGATCGAAACTAAATGAAAATAAAATAGATAAAACATATTCACACCTATATACAATATCATTATATTAATTAATTTAATCAGAAAACGCCCCATTTTCGATAATTCTGTTAGATAAAAAAGTTGTAGATTATGACAAGATGAAGTGATTCACTAGGTTCCCGAAGGATGTTAATAATTTGATGAAAATGAGCCTGTTCTACGTACTGACTGTCAAACCTGATATGGTACAAGGAAAGGGTACAGAAAGAGGTATAGCTGGTAGTTTGCTATTGTTGTGTTCATTTAAAAAGAAAGGATAGGTACACTTATATACGGAGAAAAATATAAAAAACGATGGATTATCTGTGAATTGAAAATGTTTAAAGTGAAATGAACGTTCTCGGTCGGAACAATATTAATTAAATCGAGAAAAAAATAAGTGAATGTGAAGTACTCTAGAATACTATATTTTTCAAAAAATAATAACCATACAAGAACGTTCAGTATACAAAATATTATGCATGAAATATTGTATGCACTTCATATGCTGTATGACGACGTGAAGTAGTGTATTGCACTAATTCATTACTACTTGTGATTCATTCATCCTTCATTCGTAAAGAAAGGAAACGTCCTGAATGACACATACGTCATTCTATGGCATTTGGCAGAGATAAGATTCTTGAATGAGGCATAATGAAAAAAAAGAAGTCAGTACTCTGCGGCATATCCTATATTTCTGTCACTTTTTTTAATCTACTCCAGTGTTACATGTTGCACATTCGTTAGAGAGTATTTTTACTGGTAATAGTATTATTAAAATGTTATCTGATGGGTATGAAACGGATATGTTTAAGAAGCCCAATGCAGTTAATTTAGAAATATAATTATAATGATTGAAGATCATAAAATTTCGTCTTCTGGCATCAGAGGAAGTAGCCCTTGACCTGAAACAGCAGCTGCCACCAAAGAGCTGCCATACGGCGGTGCGTCTATCCCAAGCAAATACTCAATCGCCCAGGCCGCAGACTCGGAGTCCGAGTCCAGTCCCGAATTGCTATTCAAATTTTTATCTAATAAATATTTTAAAACAAAATATTAAATGTATCATATAATAATTACGTCGTATCTTTACTTAATATTTTTTTCCGCATACATTATACTATAGGAAAAGTTCACTAGCGGATCCAGGATTTCATTTTAGCTGGGCTTCAGCCCGAAAGCTTTTTTTTTTCTAAAATATAACGAAAATTACTTTGGAAGAAAAAGAAACTAACTACCTATACGAAGTGGTGTCTAAATGATTCTTGAAGTCCTATTAAATGTAATTACACGAACAATAATACTTTCAGAGATCATTCTTTAATTTTTTTTTCATAAGACATGGTATTTTTTTACCATTTTGAGAGGAAGAGAGGTCTTCAGCCCGAAAGTCCCCCCCTCCCCCGTAGATCCGCCTGTGGAAAAGATTGAACATTTATGGTAAATTTAATATTTGACGAGTGTCCGAAAAAAAGTTGTCTCTAGATACAGACCCATTTTTATCAAATTATTAACATAGTTCTAAAACTTCGTGAATAGCTTCATCTTGTCGTAAATCTAGGAAAATTCTCAGAAATGGGGCGTTTTCTCATTAAAATAATTAATTTAATTTACTTAAAACAAATAAATACCTATTTGATTTCCACTTGATTCGTAAGATAATTTGATCACAAAATCGAATAAAAAAGTAGCCTTCAAAAATATAGGGCCGTTTGGCCTATGTAACCTCTTTATGTTGACATATTATTTTGCTGTTTAATTTATTGTACCCTACGAGGCGTCTGAAAAGAAGATGGCCTCGAGATCTCCTTTTGTAAATACATTTTTAGAGTGCTAACACTGGGTAGTTTCTCAACGAGTGATTTCATGTTATTTTATTCTATTGTTCACATTTACTGAATGTATTTTTATTTGTGATACAGTTGTAAATATCATCAATAAAAAAATTATTATACACTGAGTGTGAATGTGATATCTTACACTATTATAAATATCCTTTGAAAAATACTGTAATATTTTTCAAAAAACAAGTTCTAAAAAAAAATTGACAAAATTTGTCGATCTCCAGATTGAAAACACTCCATTTCCGAGAATTTTCGAAACAACTCATATCTCCTAATGACCAACCATCTGTATTAACTCGTATTCATGTGTATATTATTTTCATGGCGTTTTCATACAAACGGTGTTCATTTTCATGGCGTCTGGTTGATGACGGTAATTAAATAATTTGTAGACTTGAATAAATAAATTAATTTAATGAGAATACATTCCATTTCTTAAATTTTTCGTAGACAAAAAAATTGTTGGTTACGGTTGGATGAAACGATTCACGAAGTTTTAGGTGGATGTTAATAATTTGATAAAAAGGGATCTATTTCATCTCCTTAATATGCACCGTATATTATTGATACAATTGAGTCTATTCAATCCTGATAGATCTTCTTGATACTTTATATTGAAAAAACTAATTTCTCTGACTATTCTCGTCTTCGGAATATACAAAATTACACGTCACGCGTAATTGTCTGCAATAAAATATTATTTCCTGTGATCAATTTTCAACTTTAAAATATAGATGAAAATTTGTTTAGAGTTTTATATTTTATTTTTTGATTATTATTTTTTTTTTGGAACCTATTTTATTAAGTGATATAATAATGCACGGTAAAGACTCCTTTTGTTATCAAATTATTAACAGTCGTCTAAAATTTCGTGAATGGTTTTTTTTCTTTCCTACCTATACTAGGTAAGGAAAATATTGCGATAGGGTCAAATTTCCGACATGCGGTTTTCGACGGGTCTATACGTTTCAGAGTCCTCTTCTGAGTCTAAAAAATACATTTTCAGCCATTGGTCTGTCTGTCTGTCTGTCCGTCCGTCTATGTGTGCCAACTATTGAGAACTATTGGGCCTATTTTGTTGGTTCTTTTTTTATTTTGTAGAGTTTTGACTACTGTTGCTTGTGACACAAATTGGGTGCTCCTTGCGCAATAAGTGAAAAACATATGTTTCTCTATACTGTAGCGCTAAAACGCCTCTAACGATTTTGATGAAACTTCCCTATAATTTTCTATTTAATGTCCTTCCAGTTTTTGTACTAAATTCTCGAGAAAATACAGGGAAAAAAAACTATAAAGAAAAGAAAAATGTTTTGGGGCCTAACTCACTTAGTATGTATTCTACAGTAAAATTTATATGAAAAGTTTTGGAAGGTAATTAAATGAGCTACAGAAAAAAAATCATCGGAATCGAACCACTATTAGCGATTATACAGCGTGTTTTATTTTCTACACACTTTCTTTTCGGACAACTATTAACGAAGTT